AAAAGTGGTGATGAAGTGTGGTTACAGAAAATTAAATATTGATACAAAGAGAAAAATTGTTGTTGTGGGAAAAATTTTACTTCTTTGTACAAAAGAAGTCAATACCTGCTTGGATTTTAACACAGTTGCTTGCTTTAGGATTCCTTTTCCTATTTTTTTCATGCAGTCTTGTGTTCTGTTCCTTAAGGAAGGAAGCTCTGACCAGGCCTTGTGCTCCTGAGAGCTGGGCAACTGGACTCTAGTAGGCTTTCTAGTAGGTCACTTCAACCAGAGTAGCATTTGCTTAGCTTTAAGGAAACCATAAGTAAATGTTATAATTAAAGGTTAGGGTCTCCTTCCATGACTCGAAACCAGTTAGCAGAATTAGATGGCCTGTTCGTTAGCTCATCCCAGCCTGGGAGGCAGGAGGCAGCAGAGCAGTGGCTGAACAAACCAGAGGAATCCTCAATCCTGTAACTACTGTGTGGGGCAAAGCCCTGGGATCCGTCTGTTCTGGTTTCCAGCACCATCGAGCCATGCTATAAAAATGTGTCCAATGCAATTTGCATTCGGTCACACTATGCACTAAGGTCCAGTTAATATACTAAGAGTTGACATCCCACAGCAAACAGCCCTCATGCAGCAGGACACTGGAAAGGACTTGTCAGTCTATAAAGATTTTGTTTAGGGCACTCCTATTGGGGATGGTGTAGATGGAACTGATGACTAATAAGAAAATACTACACAAAGAACACAGAGAAGGGTCGACGTAAGTAAGGATGAATCTCTCCAAGCTTCCATACTAAGGGAACAAACTATTCAGGTTTGGGAGAAATAGATTTTGTCACTGACAGTGGATGGATCCTGATTCAAAAGGTAATGTGTTCCCAACCCCAATTACCAGAACAAAAAGGAGTAAAACAATAATGCAGTCATACTAGTTTTGAGGTCAGGGAGATAGGCCATTTGCTATGTCTTTGCATAAGTGACTTAAAATTTTCTGAAACATCATCCCATGATGACCAAGACCACTCATTAATCTGTGGCAAGAGAGATTAATTATTGGATGCCTATCTGCCAGGTGCTTTACAAATGTTGCCTGGGCAACAGAAATGACCCTGTTATTAAACACACACACAGACATACACAGGCACTTTCTGATTATAAGAGCATAGTCTCACCATTTTTAAAAAACAGAAAATGTGTAAAAAGATAAAAAATAAAATGGCCAATAATTCAGCCACCATTAAGAAGTTATTCTTTTATATAGGTATTTATAAGTATATATGTATTGATATTATACTACATTCATGGGTTTGTAATTTTGCTTTTGTCCTCAGTTGTAATATGAATATTTTGAATAAATACTGTTATAATGTAAATATTTTGAGTAAATATTCCCCAGGAGCATTAGCTGACTGTGGCATCATCTTGTCATATAAATAATTTAATCATTCTCCTACTGTCAGACATTTTTTTTCCAGTGCTCCACTCTTTCAAACAGTTCTTTGCATATAAAGGTATGTAAGTAGCATGTCATTCTGTTTTGTATCTCTTTGACTAATAGCAAAAATCATTGATTTGTACTTTTGTGGTTGGTTTGTTCTGTGACTTCAATAACGCTTCTTGTAATATTCACAAACAGTTCTAAGTCCATGGTCTCGACCTTTGCTTCCCCCTTGAACTCTTCAGGAGCTGTTTAAGGCAGGAAAGCACTGTGTGCTCTGCTTGCCTTCCCTCAGCTGAAATTCTTCTTAGAGTGAGAGTAGTCAGACCAAGGACCAGGGTTCTGAGTGCCCAGGTCTGGCCCAAACCCTTTCCCAAACACCTCCTATGAGCTCTGTCTAGTCCTGAATCTTTGAACCTGGTGGAGGTGGCCCCTGGCAGCAGGGAGTTTACAGCGTCTGTGTTTGCATCTCAGCAAAACTGGAACACAATTTAAGAAACCATTTGCATTAACAATCCATCACAGGTCCTATTACTTTTGTTTTTCATTGCAATTCACATTTGCATTTGACCTACTATAAATGCAAAACCTCAGCTAAAACTTGTGAAAATTTTTTAAATTCCTGATAATTCGAAGTATTTTGAACTGATACGTGCTTAAAAAGGTCTCAGGTTCGTTGAATGTATCGTTACCACTACAGATTATGTGATAGTGGCCTAATTTTTATTTAACTGTAATTAAAAAGAAATCCTAACACACATGCACATTTGTCAAGGATGAATGGTTTTGGAAGCGAGTTCACCTGTGGTCCCAAACGTCTCCTTCCTGCCCAGTGGCTCTCTTACAGTGCTTTGTTTGGGATCCCTCTTGTCATGTTGCAATTTGATCTCTTCGGTTGCAGGGTCTCTGTCTCATCCACCTCCTGCCACAAGATCGAAACCAGGGCTGTGCACAAAACAAGCATTTCAACCATGTTTCTTGTGGGGAGTAGTTACCTTTCACTTTAGTAGACTGACATTTGAGATACACTTTTGCTGCAGAAAGCATTTGTTCTGTAATCAGTTAAAATATTAGCAAAGAAGGATTATTCATACTCAAAATGGGTGTCTGAATGAATTCATGTGAGGATTAAGGAGTGGGTTGTTTTGAGATCTGGAAAATAGCAATATCATTTTTCAGGTTGAGAAACCAGAGAAGAGACTGTGAGGAACTGTTTCTTCCTCTCTGATTTTTGCATAGGCAAGATGCTAATTTGAGGGCTGTATGTATGGGTGGGTGGGTGGGAGGATTCATCAATGAGGAAAAGGCTTCTCTGGATGACCTAAATTCCTCCTTAGAGACTTCATGGCAAGAAATGGTAGGAAACCAGCAACAACATGAATGAAACTGGAGGTCATTATGTGAAATAAGCCACACACAGGGAGACAAACGTTGCACATTCTCACTCATGTGGAAGATAAAAAAGAAATGATCTAACAGTGGTAGAGAGTAGAATAGTGGTTACCAAAGGCTGGAAAGGGTGGTGGGGAGGCGGGATAAAGAGGGGATGGTTAATGGGTACAAAAATACAGTTCAAAGGAATAAGACCTGGTGTTCAGTAGCACAGTACAGTGACTACAGTTAACAATAATTTATTGTATATTTCAAAATAACCACAAGAGTAGATTTGAAATATTCCTAGCATAAAGAAATAATAAATGTTTGAGGTAATGGATATCCCAATTACACGGATTTATTATAGTGTATGCTTGTATCAAAATAACAGGTATTTCATAAATACGTATAATTATATATCCATAACAATTAAAAATAAAAATTTAAATAGAAACCGAAAACGTCAAGTAGACCATATTATATTTGACCTATCCAAGAGAATGGGATGGAAGGAAAAGCCTGGACATGAATTTGAATGTTAGACTTCAGAAAGCAACATCTTACGGGTTGAGGTTCTAAAAGGGACGGTGGTCTTAGGATAGTTAAGTCTTAAAATTAAATTCTAAGAACCTAAGGTAGAAAGCAGAGTATTTAATAGTGGCTAAAGAGGGAGTTCATTCTTGGATAAAATGATAATAAAAGGCCAGGTTTTCTAGGGAAATGAAGGCATGCAACCAAACAAGAATAAATATAATACAGAATCCAAGATGAGAATAGTGCAAGGGAGTTAAAGCCCAGAATGAAATGAAACTGAAGAGGAAAAGTCAAAGGAGATGGGTAGGTTCAAAGGAAGATAATAATCAGGGAATGCAAGGGAAGGGCTCAGCGCTGCAATGGATGGGATGATGTTAAAAATCCCCTAGGGTTCCTAAGCTCCATGAGGCAGAACCTGTATCGTTATCTTTGTACACCCTGCAACCAGCACAGCGAGTGACACAGATAAGACATCCCACCAAACTGACTTAAACCAAGTTAACAAAGGAAGTCAATTCTTTAGCTCATGCTTGTCTTTTCTGTAGGGATAAAATATTTTCAAAATGGAAAATGTGCAATCAACTGCATAAATGAACAAACTGAAATGACTACACTTGACAAAATTAAAAGGGAAAATTTTTAGTGTAAGAAAATACTTGCTAATGATAGATGCAGAAGGCAGATAAGGGGGAGGGTTCCCAGAGAATCTCCAACCAGCCTGTGCACTGGGAGAACTAGGTGGGGCCATGGGAAGTTCCAGCCTTGGGCAGGTGGGAGGAGCCTGAGCTCTTCAGCTCACAGGTGTGGTGGCATGGAATCAATCTGTGAGATGGGGGCCTGTTAACAGGATCCCCCCTTGCTTTGCTGAGATTTTTTTTCCTTTTTGCCCAATGAATTCCATTCCCCACACACTTCAATGTGTCCGCGTGTCTAAATGTTCCTGGTCCTGACACAAGAATCCTGATTTAGCTCATCTAAGGAGCAAAAGTCTGCAACACTAACAACTCAGATGGCCTTAAAGTTCACACAGGTGTCTTAAGAGGTAATAAATGCTATTATCAAACTTACTATTAATGAAATTTCCCTCCTTTCCCAGAATTCATGTAACCATTTTGGATTAATATCACTGCATCAACTTTTTTGTATCTTATTACATACTATGACTATTGCATCTTTATGACTAAACTGTAAAACTGAAAAAATATGTATTCCTTATTCCTTTTGTTCCTAAAAATTATGTAACATTTCACTAAACACCTTTCTTGCCTCAAGCTATTTTGTATACGGCTTAAAAACAGTAAGACAAAATAATTAAAATTACAAGTGTTTTCTTCCTTGTACAGCATTCTAAATCTAAGGTGCTCCTGTTTCTTGAAATGTCCATTAACCATTATCCCAATATTCTAAGGTAAAGCAGATATTTTATTACAATGGAAACAAAACTACTAGATCACTTACAGAATTTGTGAAGACACAACAAAATACTGATCAACTCCTGCTCAGTCAGGGCTTGGGGTGTGAAGATGTGTGTGAAGAAGGCAGCATGTAAAATAAAGTGTCAGAGTTGAGAAAAACATAAGCAAATGAACAGTACCTTAGATCTTTGTGGGAAAAAGATATCAAAGAAAAAGTAAACTATGGGAGTCAATGTTGAGAAAGACAAGAGAACTCTGATAATTATGAACTTTATTTTTATTTACTATGCCAACATTTTCAGGAGACACTTTACATCTGTTTTTTAGAATTCATTTTACAAGCAAATTCTAATATACAGTTTGTACTCTAAACTGACTTTTAAAATCAATGGGAAAAACAATACTGCAGATATTATTTTTGCTCTTTGTTAGTAATGACTTAGAGACCTTACATTCTCAGGGTATTATTTTGTTAAGTAAATGCTTTACCAAGGAGAAAGTGGGTGAGCTTATTCCCAACAAGATTAAAACATGTATCTTCAGTTAATGACACAGTTGTAGATTGGTGCCCACCATCAGAATCATTTAATCAGAAGTATTCTCTCAAATTGCTGCAGCAAAAAACTTAAAGGGAGATGTGAAAGATCATTAGAAAATATAATTCAAGCATGAGAATTTAAAAAGTAACAAGGCCGTCATCCCCAAGGAAAAACATCAGGTAGTACAGCTATAATTAATTTTCAAATGTGTGCATAAGCATGCAAACATAACCACCCAAACGAATTTAAAAACACAAAAACTACTGTGTAAGATGGAAAGTAAATTGAAATGGTGCTGCAGTCTTATTGATCTTAATTGCAAGCCTGTTTGGTGATTTCAAAGTACATCCCCAGTGCCCTAGAGACCAGGAAACCAGTATGACAACTCTGCTCAGAAACCAAGAATGCACCCCTGTGTCTGTAACACCATTTATGCTATAGGAACATTTGGAAGTGACAGCTGTAGGGGCATCACGCGCTCTTTGATGTACTGAGAAAAAAGTAAAATACTTATCAGGACAATGGAACATTCAAAGAAAACTTAGTGCTTTAATGGGAAAAGTGACATGCTGGGAATATAGTGCTGGGAATATAGTTCTGTGAACAGCTGTACTGATATCTTCAAACAGCAACAATTACAAATTTATTTCAACAAAGCCACACCCAATAGGAGGCATTTCGATATTTCAGGCACAACTCCAAGCAATTAAGCTCATTTAAAGTGCAAATCTGATATTTTCTTTCATATTCAGATTTTTACTTGTTAAAGTACTTAGTAAATTCTAATATATATATAAATACAATGAACAGTAGCCTATATGCCTGAAAATATTGCACAAATAAAAATGAGACTCCAAAAGAAAAATGTTAGCTGGTCTGTTATTAGAAACAGTCTAAATGACATAACTCTATAATCCTTTAATGCCTTAAAATCATCTGCACCTGTACCAATAAACTCCTTAGGCCAAGCTTTCTTTTAAAAATTTGATATGCATCCCATTAACAGCCAAATATCGAAGTCTGAATACTAATTTCCTCTTTTACAAATGTGAAACTTAACAAAGCCCATAAAATTTCTTCCTCAGGACTTAGAATTCATATACTGTAACTATTTTCATTGATATCACCAGAACTAAGACAATAAACGGTTTGTGTTCCTGTGGAGGAGGATTTGGCACAGAGTTGATTTACATTAATAGAAGCAATAAACACAGATCAAGCCAAATCTAAGATGATCTTTGATTATTCAGTAGAGTTACATCCTCACTTCCATTTCAGACTTAACATTTACTAAGGAGCAGACAAGCATGATATTCTTGCAGTTTTTAAGGAAAACTGCAGGTAAATACTTTATGTCATGCAAGCATCCTAGATTTGTTTTCTCTTAATATAGTATGCTTCATAAATATACGATGAGCCTATCTTCGAAAAGATTAAGACTCAACAAAGGTACAGAAAAGTTGAGCTAATTGGTTAACATTTCTGCAAATCCAACAGGGAAGAAAAAAATAGAGAAAAATGGAATAAATGCATGGAGGAAAAAATGGAGAAAAATAAATGAGTGGAGTCAACATTTTTATGTAATGGACAATAAGGACATTTCCCTCAGACTAGGGAGTTAAAAATAAATTTAAAAATTTAGAACTTTTCCCTTAAGGATAAGGCCAGCTCGTAAATAATGTTTCATAAGGGTCTAAACCAACTTCTAAATAAACCAAAAACCACTAAGTCACGGTATGTTTTACTTTAGGGAAATACAGTATGATTCACATATTTGCAACATGTGAGAATGGTTTTCTTTCTCCTTCAAAATGATAGACTACATATGCCCACTTACAACTGCAGCCATCATGGGTCAACTCCATAAACAAATAAGTGCTTTGCTGATTTGCCTGACTCTAACAGTATCCGGACTACGTGAAGAATGTTCTGAACTTCACTGCTTCTCCATCAGAAGTGCTGGTACATAAGAATAAGATACTAGATTTGTGTTGCTCACCTCTTACCAAATCCAAGAATAGTTTCCATCCAGTGAATGGCAAATTCATCTGATAGGTAAGGGAATAATGGGTCAAAATGGTAGCAAACACTTCTTTCAAATTTCTACTAAAAGACTTGCTGTTGTTTTTCTTAGAAAGGGGCAATTTCATCAACATACATCTTTTAAAGGAACCTCTAGAAATTTGAGCGACTTTTTGGCCATAATCCTGTTTGATACATTTTTGGTCAGCTGCTCAAAACATTCTCCTTGTAAGGTTATCTATCTGAAAGATACTAATTCATTTAAAGCAGCTGCAGGTCAACAACCTAAAGATGACATGATTTGGGAGAAGAAGGCGGCATACTTACTGAACTGACAAGTGGCCGAAAGCATAATGAGGTTCGTGCACATGGTAGCATGGAGGTTCCACACCTACCTTCTACAGCGTATTAAAATAAGAATATTGTCTTTGAAATGCCTTCTAGCACCTTTTTAATAAAACAAAATTTCCCATCTTCAATTCTATTTTTTCCCAAAATCTACCTTTAAAAAATTGTCTTTCAAAAATACACCATAGATGAGGTGTAGGAGTTGAGGTCAGGAGTTCAAGACCAGCCTGACCAACAAGGTGAAACGTCATCTCTACTAAAAATACAAGAAAATTAGCCAGGCATGGTGGCGCATGCCTGTAGTCCCAGCTACTTGGGAGGCTGAGGCAAAAGAATCGCTTGAACCCGGGAGGCAGAGGTTGCAGTGAGCCGAGATGCACCACTGCATTCTAGCCTGGGCGATGGAGCAAGACTCTGTCTCAAGAAACAAACAAAAAAACCCAAAAAATCACAGAAAAAGGAAACCTAGGAGACTGGGGAGGGTGGGGGGAATATTATGAACTCCAGCTTTCTCAAGATAGTCTTATTTAAATTTATTTTTCTCAAAATATTTTAACTTGTTTTGCTACAGAAAATAGTTTAAAATCCCTATATATGGTATATTTATATCCCATCAAAGTTTTGTGCAAATGTTTCAAGTTCATTATTTCAGTCTTCAGATATTAGCAGAAAATCAATAAATATAAATATTACAATTAAAGACATAATGCTGTGGAATCTTAAAATGGCTATCATGGATCCATAAGCCCAAGGGTTCAAAACTGAATTATCAGCAAAACTCTAGCACCAACATATGTTACAAACGAATACATCTTTAGGTACAGGTTTCAAGATGTACCTCAAGCTCTCCAAAATTTACCCAGTAACAAATACAAATATAAATCTATGTGTGTGTGCATGTGTGTGTGCGCGCGCACCGCATGTGTCTGTAAAACAAGATGTAAAGGAATATACAACTGATTTGTATGTAATAAGAAACATTTTCAGCCTGGGGAATTTGGGAAATGAATCAATAGTAACATTAGCTGGCTGACCCTGGCAAGGAAAAACAAAACTTACATAGACTTTCCATTAAAAGCCTAATCTCCTTTATTCATCACAAAGTTTTTGCATAGACCTTTTAAATATACAAAACACTGGCCAGAACTCTGCTTACAGACTACCATCTTCCATTATTACCATATCTTTCGTTAAAATAGTAGCCATATTCACAGGAGAGACAAGTGAAAAAGGGTGAGGTTCTGACAACCACAATAAATACAGACTTTAACAGGACTAAACCAGCAAAGCACATTTCTTGCCTGCTCAGTAAAATATTATGAATTTTCTGACATGGAGAGGGATAGATAACATGATTCGGGCCTTTAGCAGGCCTCTGAAATGGGTAAGCAAACTTTCGTGTTTACCTGAGATAATTATGCTCAAATGGCATGTACTTCAACCAGAATATAAAATGAAGGAGCCAAACTAGTAGAAGCTTCCACATTTTAATTTAAGATTTGCAGGCTTTCAATGGAACCTCCACCATGGTAGCAAGCTGCACATAAAGCTATTACAGAACAGATCGTTTTTAAGAAACAAATTGGCAGGTGATGGCTATGTACTTAATGTATCTTTGGTTTAGGAAGACGAGAATATCGATTAGAGGCCAAACAATCCCCAGAATGCAAATTGCCATTCGGATTCTGCATGATTTCTTTTCGTTGTGTTAGTGGCCTTGGGATGCTTGTCTTGGCCTGGAAGCTTTGAGGCTCTAGTTGGGGGCTGTTTGTTTGTTTTTGTTTGAAAGAGCCTGAGGGGGGGCGGAGCTTAGATGCTTTCAGATTCTGATTATTTGCAAGATTTGTTTGACTAGATGTTGGCTGAAGTTTTGCTGAATTATATGTTGCGATTATTGGTGACTTTTTACAAGTGGAAGTCCTACTTGGAGATGATTCAGAAACTGGAGGCGGTACCAAAGAACTCAATATGGATGGCTTTAAAAGCTGCAAGGACTTGGGCTGAGACACATAACCCACTGGTGGAGACTGATTTCTTCCAACTCTCTTAGCCTGGTCTACTGTACTTGACTGGGGAGGTGTCTGAAGAGAAGTGGGTATAAACTGCACGTCACTAATTTGATTGTTTGCCAAATGATAAGGCTCTTGAGCATTTACAGTAATGTTTAAGTTTGCTTCAGAAGGTGTACTCTTAGCCACATCCATTGTTAATTGTGGGCCTGATGAAAAAGGCTGCTCTTCCAAACCATAGTTGCTTTCTTGTTGCAAGACTTGTGTAAAGCTTTCTTCCAGATGCGCAACACCCTGATGCATGTCTTGGATTGCGCATTCACTGTGGGCCTCGATATGTTGTGGCTTTATTAGTTTTCCCTGGGTGTGGTCTGTGGGTCTGGGAAGGCTGCTGGAAGGCTGTAGTACTTGAGGCTGTTAAAATTAAAAACAACATTAGCAACAAGTTATTTTAGAAATTCCACCCAGATTTAATATAAATACCAATTAGGCTGTGTTGGTACTTATTATGGCTTTAATATGGAAAATATGTGGAGTTTCTTTTAATTAAAAAATGAACTGCAATATTCAAGCAAATTAGACACACACAAGAGTGATAATGCAAACAAAAAATGATACAGGCAGTAAACACTGAACAAGATCCAAAATTAAATGAGAAAAAGAAAACATTAAAATACTAATTTATTATAGAAAAATTCCTGCCATAATAGATTTGTTAAGTATTTTAAAACCTTAGAGCTTGACAGAATGATTCTACAGCTTTTGGTTTAACCTCCACAAAGCATTCAGGTGTTAACTGTGACCTTCAGAATAGTACTTACACTAAAGTTAAAAAAAAAGTTGTATACCACATTAACAAGTGTTGTTCTTCTGTCAAGAATGAAAATTACCAGCAGATAACAAGATTTAGAGTGAATACTATATTCTCAGTTTATGTGAAATTCTATATATTTAACAAATATAGGTCAAGATATTTAGCTAATGCTAATCTCCTTTTAATATTCTTGTTGAAAAGTTTCCAAATAAAATGTTTTAGAGTTTATTTGGTCTGTCTCACTGCTATTATGGCTGACATGTGAAAAACAGATCTACTCTAATCAAAAGTAAACATTCATTTACTTGAATTTAGAATAATCAGCCTTTTGAATGATGGCTCAGACTAAAACAAATGTGAAGTTGTCTTTGACCGGAACTAAAGAACAGAAGCCTACGACAACAAGGTTCTTACGGTCTATATGCCTCACACGTACTTCCCTGAAGCTCATTGTGTAGTTACGTTTCAAAAAAAATCAGAGGAACTATGCAATTTCCACGACTTGGTGGTATCTAGTAAAAAATACAAATCTTAAAGCTATCTTTCAATGGCCCAAATAGTTAAAATACATGGGGCAGGGCCTACCAGGCCTGTCCTGATGCAGTGGTATTTGCTACAAATGCATAAACTCTCTTTCAATCTCTCTTCTGTCTCCTCTCTCCTCTCTCCTCTCTCTCTCTCTCTCTCTCTCTCTCTCTCACACACACACACACACACACACTCTTTCTTTAAATAATGTGGGCCAAAATGTCAAAGACTTTGGCAAAGGGCTTTACAACGTGAACTTCAAAGGGCCATTTCTCACTAATAACTTTTTTTTTGCTAAGCTAATCCACGAACAAATCTACATATTAGCTCTAATTTCCCCAACAGAAGGGGCGGATCTATTTATACTGCATCATTTGTGTTTTTTCAGTTCTTCCACCTCCCTGACCAGCACTGGACAATGGCTGCCCAGGATCAGCAGCCAGGGATTAGATTATGGCTGGATTGGGAGTGACTGAGGGCAAGGCTCATCAACTCATGGAGGATGGTTGGCTGTGATGGCATACGGCTGACTTGCCATTAAACAAAAAAAAATCAAGACAGTGACTATTCAAAATTAATCTGTACAGAAATAGGTCACATTAAATCATATTGCAGAATGTTTGAAATAAACAAGTCAGCTCAATTGCTGCCTCAAGCTAAATATCCCAGACTTTAAAGTCACTGGGTATTTTCACAGTACATCAACACAAAAATTAATAAACTGTCCTGCAAAACAGAAGGTACTAAAATCACCACATAATTAAATCAACAGATTCTCCCTGGGGTTCCCTAGACAAAAATAACTGTGCCAAAGTGATCAAAAACTTTGAAAGATTAGTGAAAAAATAGAGCAGGACCATATTAAACAAACCAAAATCTACCAAAGGGAATAAAAAGTAATCAGCAAGGAGGCATCAACTGGTTGGTTGAATGGGGATTTGTTTTCCCTTTTCACCCTCAAACATGGTAAGATATTCTAGTGCCAAGTTAAAAATCTTAAAGCAATTTAAGACTTCTGAAAATATCAGTGACAATTTTGGACTTTACTGTAATATGTCTACTGCCAATAAGAAAAAAAGGTATAAACGTGTGCTATCAGTGAAAAGCATAAAAAGATGATTTTTCAATTAAGACAGGTAATAAACTGATTATTAAGACAACCAACCTCCAGAAATGCCCAGGAAAGGGCCATTGTGAACTATAAATTTGTACTGTTTTGTACTCACCACTTGTACTGTTTTGATTACTCACAGTACTCAACTGACCACTGCTTATCAGAGAAATAAATGGAAATACAGCAGAGTCAGAAAGACCAAGCTATTTGTATTAAATGCAATAAAGCTTCATATCAAATATTAATGAATTAGAAAACAGCCAGTTTTTAAAGAATAACAAAATGTTGAGTCAACTGAGAGGAATTTAACAGTTTTATAAATAAATGTCTAAACTACAAGTTAGACATATATACTACTAGTGAATTACATTAACTAAATCAGTGGTGTCCATTGCTAAATAAAATTTTATATTTTTATTAAAAATTAATTTTGGTGGCATGATATAATTTCCCAAATCAATGTCTTATTTTATTATTTATTTGGTAACTATATTTGGAAGATCAATTCCACTACTGTAAAAACAAAAAGTCTCTTTCACGAGGAATAAGGAAACAACTTGCTCCTGATATGTGGAAGACTACATGGAAGTGGCTACCCACTAGAGACTGGATTGCCGCTGATTACACCTGCTAGCAAGTTGAACAACAAGCTACCTCTCAACCTCTAGCAAGCAAGGCAGAGATGTGTTCTGATGGCTTGTTGCTACAATTTCCCCAAATTCTAAACATTCAACTGTGTTAATATAAATGCCAGATATTAATTCATCTTGCCCACATCCACTACTACTTCTATGGCCATTAAAAAGATGCCCTCAGACATTTTTAGAATGTAAATATAAAAAGATTGCATATCCTCACGGATAATATAAATAGGAATGAATATCAAAAACTATACACTTTTTAAATGTTTATTATGTATCATGTACTGTACCAGAAGTGAGAAAATCTGGAGCTGAACAAAACTTTGTTCCTGTGCTTGAGGAGCTTAGTGAGGGAGACAATAAGGTAAAGGAATGATGCGATCATGTCTTAAGCACAACAACATATGGGAACAAAAAGAAAACATGCCTGCCTGGAGAGGTCACAGGAGGCATACCAGAATGGTGAACAATCTGCCCTGAGTTTTAACACGGTGAACAGGAGTTTATCAAGTAAACAAGAAGGAAAGAATATCCTGTGTAGTGAGCTAGTACATGTCAAACACAGAGGCAAAAAAAGACCATGCCATGTTCCAGTCACTTCAAATTTTAGACTGAATTTGAAAGGCTAGTGCAAAAGCATAGCTAAGGGCCAGCTCCTAAGGGACTCATGTCAGGCTAAGTAGCTATGACTTTGTGTTGTAGATGATGGGAGATGTGGATGAATTTTAAGCAGAGGAATCAGAATATCTAATGTGTGTGTTTTAGAATGATCACTCCAGCGGAACTAGTGAGGAATGTAACCAGTGGGGATGAAATTGTTAGAAAAACCATATCGTAAGCTTTTTGGCATAAAATCTGGAGAGGACTGAAAAAGATTTGAAGGTGGGACTGGCAAGATGAGGTATTGGCTTGTATACAAAAAAGGCCTTTGGGGAGGCTGTCCACTAATCCGTGGATTTCATTGCCTCAGAAGCCCACAAAACCTAGAGGGCAAAAGGAATCCCCCCACTACTGGGGGACTTCAGGAAAGATCTCGTATCTTAACTACTCCCTGTAGTCACAAATGAGTAAAACTTTAATCCTGAAACTTGTGGAGGGGTTGGTTACTGAAGCATCAAAACGAGGACCTATCCCCAGACTTACAGAGCTAAGTGCCTCTAACTGAACTCAGCAACTTCAAATCTTACTTTAATTAGATATGTAAACTTCAGCACACCATTCTGATAATTCTCAGATTAAAGAGTTCCATGCGTCAAGGTCAAGAATGTCAGCAATAGGCACTACAGGGTGGTTGTGCAAAAGGCTTGGTAGACATCTTTAATAATAATGGTAAATGTCTATTTTAGGCTGCTTTACAAAGATAAGCAGAGACTTGGAGCTCCTTACAGGCATGTACTATGCTTTATTCATTTTTTGTTATAGCTGGTATTTCTAGTATTTGGCACAAAGTAGGGATTAAATATATATTTGCTAGATAAATAAATAAGTGAATAAATATTAGTGGTATATTCAAGAATTACTTATTTGGCCAAGAATTACCAAACTGATTTAGGTCAATGATGAAGCATTAATGCTTAAATAAAAACTGGTTTCAAAAAATAAACACTGATGAAAAATAATCTGATAGGAAAAACCCATTGTTCCCTCCAAATAAGTCTGTGATTAGCTTAATGATTCATGTTTAGAAGGACAGCAGGAAATACTGACTGCATGTTATATACAAGTACCTCTCATAATGACCTTTTAAAAGCTTAGCCACCAACTGTTTTTTATCTGAAGACTAGAAATAGGTTGGGAAAAGTGTCTTAACAAGCATTCAGCTACTAGAAAATTCTAATAATTAAATATGATTACATATGTAAAACATTTAGCATAGGACTTCCTAGCACATACTATGTGCTCAATAAATTTCATCTATGGTTATTAAAGGATGTAAGAATGATGAGTTCAAGCCATAGCTATTTTGTAACTGGGTCTTCGAAACAAAAGTAAGTTCTTTAGCAATATAATAATAAACTAGAATATGAGGTTTCTAGGATTCAAAAACATATTTCAATAATGTCAACACTATCTATATGTCTGAATCCATATCAAGCATATTTGATATGACATAGAAGTCAAGGCTCTTTAATTGCCTTCCTGGAGATAAGAACCAGAGCAATGACATGCAAGTTTAGAGAGAACTTTCCAATGGCTCTACAAAGGAGGTGGTACAACACAATATTGAATCACTTAGCTTTTAGAATCAGGCTGATCTGAGTTTGAATCCTGGATCTATCACCTATAGATCTATCACTGAGGCGAGATATTGGGTAAA